AGCAAAAAAAAAAAAAAAAAAAAAAAAAAAAAAGTTGAAAGAGGCACCCTGAGGTGCAATACTGTTCATTGTGCTTAACAACACTCTGGGAGAGGGGTGAGCAGTGGGGTGGCAACATTCACAGCTAATTATTTACGTAAGTGGAGACTAAAAACTGAGGAACTCCCGAGGGATCCAACAAAGCTGGGTGAATGGGCAGCACCATGGCAGATGGAATTCAGTGTTGACAAAGCAGGATGATGCACGCTAGAAGGAACAATCTGAATTACTCAGATGAGGGGCTAAATAGAAATGAGCTGCAGCCACACAGGGAAAAGGCTTAGGCGCCATCACAGATAACAGAGTGACGATCTCTGCTCAGCAGAACCGTTGGGCAATAAAACAAAGCGTCAGGATACTTAAGGAGTGGAACTGAAAATATTCCGGGCAGTAGGATAATGCGGTTTGTGTTCTCATTGTGTGGACGAAGGGAAGGACATGTGGTATTATGGGTTTCAGCCAGGCCGCAACTTTATTAGTCAAATTACATCCAAGTTTCCCATCGATGGGCAGCCCAGTGCAGTCCCTCACACCCCATTGATCCTTTGCCAATTCTGGGGGGTTCCCACCGCAGGGAAAGCTAATCATCACACTAGGAGGGAATTTGTATGCCTCCACTTGCCCACTAGCATCCCTCCCCCTTGGGCAGAGGCAAGAAGGGACCTCATCCCCAGCCCGCACTGCCATCAAGCACATTGGCAGGGTGGTCCCCTGAAGTAGTCTCCTGGCCCCTGGTTCGCATTTGCCTCCAGGGGGTTAGACACCATGCCCCTATCTCATAAAGAGATGCCCTTGGGATGCCCACTATGTTACTTTTTTGGATCTGGAGCCTAAATTAGTGAGTTCCTGTGCTGGGCACCTGTCAAAAGTTGGGACAACTAAACAGTTCCCATGTGGGTCCAAACTGTGACCTCTGAGAGGGGAGAATTCCAGCCTTCCGGTTGCCCAAAACCCAAACCCTAGCTTTTGCTGCGACAAAGGCGAAACAAAAACAAAAAAAAGTCAGCCTCCACCAATCTGGTGGTATGGGAAAAACATTACTTCCAAGCCACAAAGCAGTAAGTAGCTCAGCCCGCAGTAACCTACGGTGGGCTGTCTGCTGGAAACCAGCAAACAGAAAGTGGCTCTGAGCACATGGCTCCAAATCTCATGCCAAATACCATGAGACCTGTCCCATATTCTTGCCTTCTCCTATCACGGGAGCCACCAGAACACACCCCTCACTAGGCTCTGAACCCTCTTATCTTAGTTAGTGGTGCACACTCCCACCTGGAGCACTGTGCTCTGATCACTCTCTCACAGGCCGGATATAGCAGAAAGAGAAGGGGTTCAGAGACGGGAATGCAAGTGATTGGAGGCCTGGGGGACTTCCAGGCCAGGACCCAGAGTGACAAGTTCGTAGAGTTTAGTGTAAAGAGGACGTGAACAGGAGGGACATGATGCAAGTCTACAAAATAATGCCTGGCAATGGAATCTGAGAGCAGGTAGTGGGGTACATAGCTGTGCACGTGCTCATTCCAGCTAAGGGGGTTAGGGAGAACTTGCCCTGAAAGATTATTTCACAATCTGTCCACAACAGGGTTTTCTGCACCTTCCTCAGATACATTTGCTATTGGCCACCATGGGAGACTGGATACTAGACTAGACATCAGTGGTCTGATCAGTACAGCAATTTCTATGTTCCGATGAGCTTCCATTCCCTCCCTCTGGTCTCCAGTAACCTGGAGCCCCAGCGTCATACCCAGGCCTCCACCAGCCTAATCTCTATCCTACTCTCACCCACATGGATCCCAGAAGCCTCTTATCTATTCTTCCAAACCCGCAATGCTGCTTGCTGGCTCTCACTGCAGGGCTCAGAGACCCTGCAGCATCACCCTCACTGCAAAACATAGTCCCAAACAGCTCTAGCACATGAGAGACACTAATTCCAGATCAGGGTCAGAGAAGCAGGGGGTAGGACAAGAAGGAAGCAGAGTCCTGGTGCTCACACTCACCCTGCACATGCTCCAGGTGGAGGAAAATGGAGTCTTCGCTCACATAGTAGCGCAGCAGCTTGGCCATGAAGGGGACTCCGTGCGGGATGATGGTCTGCCGCTCACGGGTCTCCACGTGGGATTTGGGGAGGCTCTGCATGGAGAACATACAGCTGGGAACTTTGAGTGTCACTGAATCCCTGGAGACTGGCCACCACCAGGGTAGAAGACTGAATGGGAGGGACTACTGGTCTATTCCATTCTGACAAGCCCCTCATTCCTACCTTTGTCCACCAGGGTCACACAGACTAGAGCTCTCCATCTGCTGAGCTCAGCAAACCGTGCTCAGACAGCCTTACCAATACACTCACACAGTGCCCCTTGCTACTACACACCTGGGCTCCCACACAGCTCTGCCAATGCAGGTTATTCCTGATCTGTAACCTCCATCACTATTCTGAGGCTGGCCCCCACCCACAGAGCTCTGCCCATCCACCTCAATCCCTCCAGCTACTCCAGTCCTCGCCATGCCCACAGCTCCAGCTGATGCCCCTCATTCTTACCCCACAGCCTCCAAGCTCTGTTATTAGAGTTTTGGGCTTTTCATGAGCAGTAATAATCACGCCTAACTGTGCTGGACAAATGCCCCAGGGACTCAGACTGAGAACTCCCAGACTCATGTCATTTCTGCTCCGATTCATGTTTGGACACAGATCCATGGCTTGGGTTCCACCAGCTCCATTGGACTGAGTTCCATTAGAGGGACAGTGGGAAGGCAGCTCATGTCTGAGTGACCAAGGAGACTGAATTCCCCTCTGATTACAGGAGATAATGGGGGGCGGGGGGAAGGGTCATGCCAGGGCATGGGAGACTTTAGGGAGGACATTGGATACTACTATAAAATTTATTTCTGCTGAACAGCACAAAATGGACCTGAGGAGCCCATGGGAAATACTCCTCAGGTCAGGCTGGTACGGGACACCCCTTGCTGGAGGGTTCCCCCAAAGGAGCGGGAGATGGAGGAGCCAAGGGGTAGGAAACACCCACCTTAAGTATAAAGGTCCCCCCAGTGGCTGGATCCTGGACTAGCTGCACCTGCAAGCAATGGTGACAGCCCAGATCAGAAACGGTGAACTCTGTCACGCCAAGTCCCACTTCAAGGGACTTGGCTCATTTTAGTCTCAAAGTTACCTCTTTTCCTTACTATTTTGGTGTCTCTAGCTACCCCTGCCCTCCAGCCACATTTTTAATAAGTCAACATTAGTTACCTCAGAAACAGGGAGATAAGGAGACATGGAATACAGGAAGAGTTAGTGACACTAAACGGGGGGAGAATCCCACAGCATTTTCAGCTTCCTGCATCATTATTTTATGTTCCTCCCTTAGGTTTGTGTAACGCGTTTCGTCCCATCTTTGGGCCTTGCCAGTGGAGGGGGGGGGGGGAGGCAGAAAGGAATTAATCTCATCACCCAAAATTCTGACCCTCCTTAAGGGCCCGAGGGAAGGAACCTAACGCCTTCACTCCAAGGCCCTGACATGCTGAGGGTGCAGGGAAACGAACGCCATCATCCAGACTTCTGCTGGGGTCTATGGAACCTATAGGGCATCCATTGCCATAGCAACTGGGCATCCGTTTATGGAGGCGAAATGTAGCTATGCAGGTTGGAATCAGGCAAAGACATTGAGTTGTTTGCAAAGGTCTTGGGGCCTTTAATGGCTGTGAGTGGTCAGGACATCGGTTTTACTTCTCTTCCAACAGTGCCCCTAGTGGCACAGCACACCTCCCCACTACCCGGGGGCCAGTACTAGCTCAGAAGAGAGAGAACCCCCTGAGACACCAATACCATTCTGGGCCTTGCCCGTTCAATCAGTGGTCAGCTCAGAGTGCCCCTTGTTGAGTCACCCCACTCCCTTTAGCACTCAGGTTTTCCCTGGTGGGAAAGGTGTGGGTGACCAGCCTCAACCCTGCTTGGCACGCACAATACAAGGGGCTCTCAGCACCTGATGTCCAGGCTGCTGTGACTCTGCTGCAGCTCCTTACCTTCTCAATCACTCCCACGACCTTGCAGCGCCTCAGGTTTTCCACAGCCGAGCTGAGTGTCCTGATGGGCCGAAAGCGAAGGCTGCTGTAGCCCTGTGAGGCAGTGAGAAATGAGAATGAGGATCCTGGAGATGTTCTTGTCCAGGGGTGCAGCTGGAAGGGGTCTCCCTTTTCATCTGTGGGGAGCCAGAAAAGCTGCCAAACCTGAACGTTCAGACACCATCAGCGATACACACCCGAAATTGTGACGGTTTTAAAAATAAAAGAAAATAAATGGACTCTAGTTTCGGCCAGTGTCTGGATTTCTGAGCCTTTAGGGCGAAGCTCCCAACTCCAGCGGACGTAAGTTAAACCTTAAGTATTTAAGTACACAGAACTGAGACTGCCCTTACCCTCTCCTAACCCTTGAGGTGGGGCACTCGTTCACTCAGCTCCCACCTTCGTCTCCTCCCCCAGCCTAGGCTATCACTGTGCCCTACCCAGCATCTTGCCACACTCTTCTCTCTGCTTGCCCCACAATCTTCTGCCCTCACACTCCCTCCTTTTCCCCTCAGTTTGCTGCACCCCATACTCTCCCTCTCTAACCTCCCCAGTCCCCAAAGTCACCCCCTGTCCCCCAACAATAGCCCTTCCTGCTCTCCCCACATTCTCCATTCTGTCTCACTGCTCCACACATTCACCTGATCTTCCAATCTGGGTCCCAACTCCTCACATGCCCTTTACCCCCACCCCATTGGTCTCATTCCTTGCCCCTCCACATTCCCCTGCCTCCTGTCTGGTCTGCACAGGGTGACTGGTGGCTGCCATCTTAGCTGAGGACAGTCTGGCTTCAGTCCCATTGGGAAGAAAGAGAAATGGAAGCCATTTTCACTAGAGGCAGGCATGGTGTCCACCTTAACTGAGGGCAGCCTTGGCTTCAGCACTTCTGAAAACAAGGGATCACAGCCATTTCTAATAATGAGAAAAATCACAAGAAAAATTCAGGCATAAACAAACCACCTAAAAAACCGCATGAGTCCCAATAATGCCATGGGCTATGTTTGTGCTGAACCATCTCAGCCCTTCACCTCTGCAGCTGGGTAGCGTCAGCTCCCCTTCAGCCACCACCCCTCCCACAGATGCCATCAACGTTCTGCAGCTGGTGCAGGACTCAATCTTGGTTTGGGCCCAGCCTATCCAACAAGGGCAGCCTTGGGGTCTATGCTGGGGCAGGAAGAGGCCTGCAGGGCTCTGGGAGCTGAGGGGTGATCTTCTTGGAGACAGGGCCGCCCAGAGGATTCAGGGGGCCTGGGGTCTTCGGCGGCAGGGGGCCCCCGCCACTGAATTGCTGCCAAAGACCCGGCACTTCGGCGGCGGGTCCCAGGGCAGAAGGACCACCCCCCCCGCCGCCGAACTGCCGCTGAAGACCCGGAGCAGAAGAAGTTCCGGGGGCCTGGGCCCCGCGAGAGTTTTCCGGGGCCCCCAAAGCAAGTGAAGGACCCTGCTCCAGGGGCCCCGAAAAAACTCTCCTGGGGGCCCCTGTGGGGCCGGGGCAAATTGCCCCACTTGCTTCCCCCGCCCCCCCCGCCCCCCAGACGGCCCTGCTTGGAGAACCTTGTTTTGAGTCAACTGCAACACAGTAGCCCGTAAACCTCTCCCTCACTGCCTTGACTAGCACCATAAAATAGATCCTCTCTGTCCAGCAGCAGCCAGACCATGGCAGAGATACCCAGCCCAGACCTGCGTTCATGCAGACCCACAGTCAGGAGCTGCCATCCCACAAAAGCAGCTGCATCTGAGGGACTGCAATGGTGGGAGAGTTTAAGAACAATGCAATGCAGACAAGCCCTGTTACTCAGGTCAGCCCCACTATAGTTACTTTTCAAGCCACTGCTGTGTGTCAGGTAGGTTGAGAACAGCCACTCCTCAGGGTGCTCCAGACAGGGCTACCCCAGGAAGCGGTCATTTAAGGCACTGAGAAAGAGCTTCTCTAAATCTTGTCCCCTGGTGACATTTGGTAGTTGACATGCAGGATCTGGAGCCAGCTATCACTAGGCCGAATTACATCTCCCTCATCACTGGGCACTGTTCAGCCTTTCCCTGATCAGGATGCCAGTGTTATAGCCCTACTGGCACCTTTGTATGTTTAGGGCTTGAGACTGATGATAGCCATATGGGTCCTAGCCCTCTCCCCAACACAGCTGTCCCACATGCATCCCAGTCAGACCCACACAGGGGACTGCACTCAGGGAGTCCAACCAGCACCACATGTGCTGTCAGTATTGCACCCTGAGGTCCCGGCCAGGGCAATCAGGGGGTCCCTATGAAGCCATTTTCCCAACCCCACCTCCTCACCGTGGCAATGGAACTCCCGTTCCCCAGAGTCCGCTGCAGGTGGCAGTTAAAGATCTCCTCAGCCCGTTTCAGGTACTGTGTGATCTTCCGCTTCACAGCCTCACGGCGCTCCTTATTGGGGTCGACTGCATGGGGGGGGAGAGACACAGCTTTAGTCACCATTCCAGCCCCTCAACACACTCTGGCCAACATATCTCAATGCCACATGGCTCATCCAGACGCTCTGCCCCTCATAACGCCTCATCCTTGCACCATGTCCCAACACTATTTCCCCACATGCCACATCTTCCCCACAGCTCTGCCCCCCAACCACAGCAGCCAGTCACTAACCTGCAGCCCTGCCTTCAGTCATTATCCTTTTCCTCATGCTTCCTTGCTGGACAACTGGTGATTGACCCATTCCCATCATCCTGCCCACTCTGCTCCCTCCCCATGCTAGCTAGTCATGGTGTCAGCCCCACCACCCCTGGCTGCTACCACAGAGACCCAGAGAAAAAGCCATGCAGATTCTCCTCTCCTTATATACTGTCAAAATGTGCACATAATCTCAGTGTGCTGCCAAGTGCCCTGTACCACCAACCCCCAATCCTTTGTGTAGCCCACACACACCGCCACTGAGCACTCGTACTCCGTGTGCTGCCCAACCCCCCCCCCCCATGTTCAATGCACCCCAGCACCACCAAGCCTCATATACCCTGCATCTTTTGCACCTTACACTCCTGCCCCTAGCCCACCATACCCTGCACGCCACTCAGCAGCACGTCCACGCCATTCTTGTAGTGATTGAAAGCTTCCTCATAGTCCTCGCTCACATCCCGCTCCAGTGCCAGGCGGATCTGCTTTGCTGCATCCACCAGGTAATCCCGCTTCCCAGCTCCATGCACATCAGGGCCCCCTGGAGAGACACGGCTCCGAATCTGTTCGAGGTACATTCGGGCCTGGGAGAGTGCCCGGGAGCAGGACTCCGAGTCCAGGCGCTCACGGGAGACTCTGCTCATGGCTTGGCCACTCTCAGGGCATCCTCAGCAGCTCAGTCCCTGCAATCCTGGAAAAGGGCTGGCGGGGGGAAAAGCAGATGAGAAGCAAAACAAAGCCCTTCAACACACCACTGGGGAGGAGTTGGGGGTGGTAGAAGGGAGGGCGCTGGCAAAGTTTGAGAGGGCAGCAGGAGGGCTGAGCAATAGCAGGGGGGTGCAAGTCAGGCCTTGCACATTGGCAGACTGGCTAGTGGAGGAAACCAAGCCTGGAATAGCTGGTCAGGAGTGAAGCACTTTGGCAGAGCTATTTAGGGGACCAGGATTGGAATAGCAGGGCATTAGCAGAGCTGGGTTGGGGTGTCAAGGATTGGAGTAGCAAGGGAAGGGTGGCTGCAGGTTCGGAAACAGGAACATTCGCAGAGCTGTGCTGGGGCACCACTGCTGCCGTAAAGAAAAAGTGAAAGGCTATTTCTGGTCTATCACTGCTGACACAAACTGCGACCAAGCAGGAAATGGATCAGCAGCTGCAAACTGCAGGAAAGTACAATCGTGAGCCAAAGCTCTCGCCCCAGGGCCTCCACATTTAGGCTCAGGGTTGATCATCCCTCCAGAGGAGATGTAACAAAGGGTCTCTATGGATGGAACAGTCAGGGCACTGGGGTCTTTCATGTGGATTCCACTGTGGTTGAACAGGCTAATAATCCAGGAGATACAGACCAACACTGGTCAAAACAAGCATTTGCTCCTACTTGCCCCCCTCTGCCTGGGGCTGCCTCAGGTTAACAGAGCCAGTCACAAATGCATGGGACTACAGTTTGCAGGGCTTGGTGCTGGCAGGGCACTGCTATGAGGAAGCTCACATTCAGCGGTGCTGGAACAATTTGTATAGTGGGGGTGCTGAGAGCCATTGAACCAAACTGTAAACACTGTCTATGATGGAAACCACTTCAAGCCAGGGGGTGCGATAGTACCCCTAGTTCCAGCACCTATGCTCACATTGTTGGAGTCCCAGCTGCTCTGGGCAGGCTGCGGGGGAGCTGGCGCTGGTGGCCTTAGGAGGGCCCTGCTGGGGAGATGGTAGCAGTGAAACAGCACCAACGGGCCCCACTACTTGGCTACAAATCCACCCTCCTGCTCGGAGAGTGGAGCGAGAGGGAGGGGGATAGGAGACCCAGCCTGATCCCACAGGGCAGAGGAAGGGGCTCGGCCATGGGGCTGGGGTAGCTCTGGGGCAGATCACATGCACGAGGAAGAACAGTACCTGGTGGAGTCAGGAGCCTGGTCCCTGGGGGTGCGGGACCCACCTCGCCCCCATGGAGCCGCTCCCCTCGGCCCGCTGCTGGGGCCGGGCCGGTTTCCCCGGGCGCGGAGCGAGGTGCCGGCTCCCCACAGCCGCTGCGGTTGGCTGCAGATGAGCTCATCCCCCGGCTTTAGAATAAAGCACCAATCCTCAGGCAGCTCGGCCACCAGCTGCGTCTTAAAGAGGCAGCGTCCGCGCGGGCTGCGGCTCCCCGGGCAGCGCCCGCCGCGGGAGGGGGAGCTGATGGCAGAGCCCGAAGGCGCGCAGCGGGGCGAGCCTGGATTAAGGGTCTAAGGGTCAAAACATTGCCCTGGAAGTGGCGAAGGGGGAGAGCTGCCCGGAGCCAGCCGGGGCGTGGGAGGGTGGCTGGGATGGGCAGGAGGGCGCAGCAACTTCCCCGCTACAACACGGAAAGAGACACCCGGGGACCGTGGGGCTGTTACTAAATCAGGTGGCGGACGAAGCTCAGATTGTCCAGGCTCTGTCCCGTCTGCATCCATCCCGGGAATGACCCGCGTGTGTCACGCACCGCGCAACCCGTGCATCGGGGCCCCAAATGTCTGCGATCCCAAGCCGCCCTCCAGCAGGAAATGTAAAGAAGAGTCGCTGGACAGTTAGGGATTGAGGGAGCAGTGATGGGAATTCCCCTCTCATACCGCCGAGCAGCCCTGGCGGATGGGCATGCTGCCTGCACAGAGACCATGGGGAGAGGGGGAGTGGAGGAACTAGATAGGCAGGGGACTGAGGGAATTGACAAGCCAATTTACTGTACCACTGACCAGTAGTAGGATGAAAAAAGGATGATGAGGACACCCATCCTCACACTGTGACAGGACTTGTGTAAGGGATACAGACCCTCAGGCATCCGGGTGTAAATCAGAACTGACAGGGGCAGGAAGAAACTTCTCCTGTGGGCAAGTTATTCCATAGCTGGATTATTAACTATTATTATTTTGCACCTTCCTCTGAAGCATCTGGTTCTGGCCACTGTGAAAGACTGGACACTGCAGTAGGTGGATCACTGCTCTGCTCTTGTGCAGCGATTCCTATGTTTGAACTCTGAGGTATTGGCATATTGGAGGGGAGAAAACATGGGCCCAGATTCATCCCTCAGGGTGTGCTCTGGTTTCCAAGGCCCATATGGGCCCTGCCAATGGTGAATAGCTGGAGTTTTGAGACAACTGTGGTGTATAGGGATTGGGTTAAACATGGTTATTCGGACTCCAACTGTGCCAGTGTGGTTTCAGCATGTTTGTAACAGTGTTTAGAGCTCTAAGACACAACAACCCAGATGCTACCCTCCTGTTCCCAGCCTGCTCTTGAGTGTCCCCTGTTCTGGGTGTTTCCAAGGGGGGGAGCAGGTACAGAGCTGGCTCTGAGGCTCCCACAGACAATCTTCTGTGCCAGGGTATTCCCTGAAAGGGGGGGGGGGCTTACACCTGCCCTATATCCCCTTTGCACCAGCACAGCCAGTGTGGAGGGGTTGTAGGGCAAGGGTGAAGGCCTCCAGTGACTGACCACCAATAAAGGAAGGGGGCGGGGAGGTAAGGAAAGAGGTGGCATGTGTGGAGAAAGAGGTCAGGGGAAGATCAGAGGAGAAAGTGGGGCATGTCACCCCTTTGGCAAGGGATTTAGAGTTAAATTCAGAGCTGGGAAGGTGATGGAGAACGGGGGAGAACACAACCTGGCCCAAGGGAGACATCTGGCTGCAGCACTTAGGACCCCTATGGTTTAGAGTCTCAGAAAAGGTGAAATGTGTGAGTTGCCTGGGAGGTGACTGAGGATTTCAGCTCAGGACAGGGAGTGGCGAGTGCTGCCCAAACTCCCATAGGCCTTTCTGCATTACCGAGTGAGTGCGACTGTTCCTAGCTGGGGTTGCATAGTTCAATTAAAGCTAACAGGATGGTTTGCATCTACACTTGCATCCACGCTTGTGTGCCTATGGGTTGTTCAATTGCCCTGCAGCTACACTGGGACAGCATTCAGTTGTTAAGTGCTATGACTTATGGAAAAGCATCCCACAGTTCCCTGGGAAGGCAACTTCTGCATGGCCTTATCTGCCAGGCTCCCCCTCCTCTGAGGCTGCAGGTCAGAGAGGCAGAGTGTTGACCTTCCTTCAGGCTGGAGCTGTCTGGAGATGGGGGCATTTGTAGCTTTTGAGGTGGCCATGCTACATTTCTAGGCTGTACCATCTGGGGGCCATCGGCTCTGTTGAGGTTTCTTACTGAACAGAATAACAAGGGGTCTCAGGTTAACCCAAATGGAGCCCTCCAGGCCTTTAAGGGAGCTCCTAGCAACTCCAGGCCCAGCAGGTGGAAAAGGAAAGGCTGGGAACTTGGCAGGAGCACTGGCAGGACGTGCTGTAGAGAACAAGGGAGAGGCACAGGCTGTGAGGAAGCTCCAGTCCCAGAAGCACATGGAGAATGGTGCTTCTCAGAGGGCAGCAGATAAGAACAGGTGTTGGGGACATGAGACAAATGCATTCTCACAGCTGGCTTCTGGATTTCTCTATCTAAGGTTTTATTTTATGCGCTGCAGCCAGGGGAGGGGCCCCAGGAACCATGCTGCAGCCCAGGTGCTGGGGTGTCATGATTCCCTCTGTGATACAGTTGACTTGGGATTCTCTATCCCATCCCACCCAGGGAACTCCAAAAGCAGATAGGTCCCAGGCCAGCCCCCATCCCCGCTCACTGCAGCTTCTCCACATCTTTCCTGTGCAGGGAGCTGGACAGACACCACACTGGAGTCCCCACTAGGGACAGGTTTCCTTCCTTCATGACTGTGTGGTCCCCTCTGCCAGCTGGCAGCTCAGGGAACGGTTGCTCTGCAAAGGTGGAGGTGGCAACACAAGACTCCTGTGGGTGACAACAACAGGGAACGCTCCCAGTGCAGCAGCCCCTGGGCTGGCACCTCCCTGAGGTTCTGTGCTGGCACCTCCCTGAGGTTCTGTGCTGTCCTGCTGCACCCTCAGCACTTTGGAATACTCCTTCAGCTGCAGGGGCCACAAAAACATTCCCACGTTTGGCCAAGCTTGTCCCCCGCTGTCCTCTGCCTGAGTGTTGAATGCAAAGCCCTGGACCTGTTGAGCCTCATTATGAAGATTTTCAGCCCTGAATCTGGCCCCTGGCTCCTTTAACCACTAATGTTAACTGTGCAGAGATTCCTGGGAAGGCCCTTAAGGTGGGGAAGGTCAGCCTAAGGGGTGACTGCCTCTCTCGCAGCTGAGTTTCCCTGGTCCTGGAGCTGTATCCCTGCAGGTGGCCAAGCAAAAGTCCAGGTCATCCTCTCCGGCAAAAGGGCCCATGCTCCTGTCCTGTTGCTCACCTCGCCACTTCTTGTCTGCTTGGAGGGTCACAGCTCATAGGTGCAAGTAGCCACAAGTCCCACAGTGTTCAGTCAAGAATGCAATTGGCGCATACATACAGGTGGTTAGAGGACTTGGTAATAAGTACGGGCACTGTGGTGCTGCCCTCTCCTGCTGAGATGACTATCTGCGTGGAATGGCACATCTGCAAAGAGAGCACAGCACAAAGACAGGAGGGGGATTAGAACAGGGGGACTGGGAGCTAGCGGCTCTGGGCTCTATTCCCAGCTCTACTCCTGATTCTCTGGGTGATCTTGGGCAAGTCCATGCCTCTCTGTGCCTCAGTTTTCCCACCTGTGAAGTGGCGTTAATGACACTGTCACCTCCCAGTGGGGCAGTGCTGGGGTCAGGGATCAGGAGGGTTTAATGAACGTTTGAAAAGTACTTTGAGATCCACAGAAAAGATGGTAGAGACAGACCCGGGTCTGTATCAGCCCCTGTGTGTTGGGATGCAGCAGTTTCACTCCGGGTGCTGGTGTGTTGTCCCTAAGCCCCACTTGTGCAGCAAGCTGCAGCCAAAGAGCTGCTATTGGGAGGAATCTCTGAAAAGAGACACTGCCGTGACCCCTCCTCCTGGATTAACGCCTACTCACAGATCACAGCCTTTAGGTCGCTGCTTCTCTCGTTTCCTCTTGCCTTGGCCCTTGGGTCTCCTCCTTCAAAAGGAAAGGGGAAAAAGAAGAGTCTGAATGGGTGGGAGATGAGCCAGGGCTGATAGTCCCAAACTCCAGAATCCCTGCTAATAGCACTTACCTTCCTGACTTCAGTGTATCCCGCCGAGGCCTGGAGAAGAAAAAGGAGAGAGTAAAATGATCACACTGCAAATGTGGCATCTGCAAAGCCCCTAGGTACTGGGGGAGGATGGGATGCTATGGAAATAGCATTGATTCCACAGGGTTGGGACTACATCCTAATTGACAGGCTGCCTGCCAGAACTCCCACGCTTGGGCTCCTCCCCCTCGCAATGATAAAACATCCTTTTGCCAATGACATAAATGACTTGTGACAAATGCACATCCGGAAGTATTTAATGCAGTGTAGCTTCTCTCAATCAAAGTAGCACCTGGAGATAAAGAGGAGAAGCCAGGACACAGCACAGATGAGGAACTAGAGTGAGGGTCAGACACGAAGGTAGACATGGCCAAAAGAGTGGCCACTAGTTTTGGGAATCCAAACTGACATCCCTTGTGCTTGATTTGCTGAGGTGCTAAGCACCCACAACTTCAGCTGGTGGCAACGGGAGCTGTAGTTGCTCCACACCTCTCAAAATCAGGCCTCAGGTATCTCAATTTGAACCCCTAACATTGAGGCATCCAAAACCAGAGGCCACTTTTGAAAATCTGGACCTGACTCACTCTTCAGCAGTCAGAGCTTCTGAGCAAGCTGGAAAACAATGCGGTTCTGGAACAGCCTCTATACATCTGTGAGAGGCCACTAGATGGTGCTGGAGAGCCACTTAGCAAGGGGTCCATGGTGGCCTGGCAACCCCTGGGTTGTGAGAGAGTTTGAGGCCTTCACTGTAAGAGGTGGCACACCCTGAGGTCTCTCCTGCTCTTGGTGACTCCCTGCATGGTGGAGAAGAATGAGACTGGATGGTCCATACCTGCACTCGCACTGCCTGTGCTCTGTAAAGGACAGTTCCACATAGGGCACCTGCCCCGCTGGCTTCATCTTCAGGAGCTGAAAGGGAACAAAAATCATTCATTCCCTACACCTCCATGGCAAAGCTGATTCATCATTCCCCTCCCCTCTGCTCCTTGTCAGGGCAGGGCTGCATGCTGATCTCAGGCACCTTAGGTGGTCCTGGGGGAGGGCTGTGGAGTAAGAGTGAAGCCTCCTGAGGCTGTTGGAAAGGAGAGAGGCTTCATGGTCCATCCATGCACCCCAAGATTTCCCACCCAAAGAATGTGTGGTCCCCACAGCCTGGGTCCAGCAGATCCTGAAAACATTGTTTTGCTTCTCCTGTTCTCCTGCCAGCCTGCCCCAGCACCGCCCTCGTCCTCTCCAGCCCCACAGGCTTCTGGTGCGCCAGGGGAACAGGGCTCTCAGGATGCCAATGCAGTCACTAGCTATAAATGACAGGTTTCAGAGTAGCAGCCGTGTTAGTCTGTATCCGCAAAAAGAACAGGAGTACTTGTGGCACCTTAGAGACTAACAAATTTATTAGAGCATAAGCTTTTGTGGACTACAGTCCACTTCTTCGGAATAAATTTGTTAGCTATAAATGGTAATGGGATGGGTAGGTGGCCCAGCATCCCCAAAGACACCTCTGGTTATGATGAGAGGGGCAGAGAAAAAAACAGAACCAGAGACCCAGGGATTCGTTTTGCTGCACCTTCAGGGCAGTGTCCATCTCACCCCACCACACCAGGGGGCACCACACATCACAGGGACAACAAACCGCTCTCATCTCACACACCCACACGGATACACGCCGTGTCGGGCTCCCTGTGTTTGTAACTGTAGGGTCCAAGATGAGACCTTTCAGCAAAAAAGACAAGTCATAAAAGGGAGAACAGCAAAGAGCCAGTGAGGGGGGCATTGTCCCAGCCCACACACCTCCAAGGGCAAAGCATGGATGTGGGGGAAGGGGTTCGGTGGAATGTCAGGAATGACTGCTGGCTCTGACACTGATTCACTCACTGTGCCTGGGGAAGTCAGCTAACCTCTCCATGCCTTAATTTCCCACGCCCCGACATTGTTATCTTAGCTACCAGGAGAGGAGCCTGAGTCCCTGCATTGTGAGCTGAGCCCACCTGGCTCTTACCTGCATGGTGACATTGGCCGTCTCCACTGGGACACACTGCAGTGTCTCGTCTCCACAGCAGCCGGTGCAGCGTTGCAGGGAGATGCAGGAAGGGCTGAACATGTGCTCCACCTCACTGGGGTACTCGGACACAATATCCACCAGCATCTCCAAGGGCCGACAGAAGCTGCGGCCCCAAACCTCCTGGAAGGGCAGGACTGGAAGAGACCCAGAGGTGGAGGGGAGGCCCTATAAGTTCATGTCCAGAAGATGCCTGCTGACCTGCTCCCTCAAGCCCTCACTAAACAGTGGAGTTACTGGCTGAGTGAGGGCAGAGTCTGGGAGGCGTGCCATGTACCTGGCACAGGCATCAGAGCAAGCCCTGCTGTGTGCCCCAAAAGTTGCAGGCAGCTCCCAGTGTTATGACTCTCCCTCCAGGCTAACAGATTTGTTTTCTCCTCTTTGAGCTGTCCCATCTGCTGCTCTCTTCCTGTCCCATCTGTCATGTGCTGCACTGGAGTCAGGCTATTTTTCATCTCCAGACACTGATAAAAATCTCCATTAGATCTGGAGAAATGTGGCACCACTCCATAGTTAAGACAACAGCCCAGTTTCTTCTAGAAGCCCAATCCTGGCCCCCATCTAAAAATCACCAAGCAACTCTGATCAGCCTTAATACTAGGGAATGAGGCTTGTGGTGGTGGTTGAATTTTTCTGGAAAATGTTATGTCATTTGGACAAGGCAGGGGGATGGTGTCCTGATTTGGGACATGCCAAAAAATAGTGTTCATCACAGGAGCTTTCATACTGGATCTAGCAGCAATCCAGCTAGATCATTACCCTGTCTCCACACTGGCTAGTGCCAGATAGATCAGAGGAAGAACGTCTGTTGGTAGCAGTTATGGGATAGCCGGCCCCCCAGGGGAAGTTTCCTTCTAACCCCAAATAGTTACATGTTGGCTCGTGTCCTAAAGCAGTGGTCTCCAAACTTTTTTGATCCTGCACCCCCATCAGTAAAAAAATTTGAGCACGCACCCCCTGCTGCACTGGCTCTACCATTTTTGCTGAGGGAAAAAAAAAAGGCACTCAGACTCCCGCCCAAACTGACGAAGCAAAAAAACCCCAAAAAAGCGCTCCTCCTGCCATGCACCCCGAAGGATCCTCTTGCACACCCCCTGGGTTGCGCGCACCCAACTTTGGAGACCACTGTCCTAAAGCATGAGGGTTTATAGCACCCAAACCTTATCGGAGGAGAAGCTGCCTCAGAGCTCAACTTGAAATTTATCAGGCAGCCACAGTTCCAAAAAAGTAAAAACAAAAACCCTCCTGGGTTCGAACAGATCAGTGCGGTTGAGTTTTTTCACCTTTTAATTTTTTTTTAATTAAATGGACGTAAAAGTCTAAATGAAAAGTCAAAATGTTTTGCCTGAAAATGTCCTAACAAAACTTGTTGGCTTTTTCTGATTATTTTTTTTATCTGAACTAATTCAGCAAATTTCAACACCAATTGACAAAACATTTTGGTCAAACTGAAATTGAGGTTTTCTTTAAAAAAAAGTTTCATCTGAAGAATTCTGCCCAGCTCTGATCCCAGGAGGTGCCCTGTTGGAGCTCAGTGGCTCCGAAGGAGGGCTGGATAAGCACCTTCTGGAGGGTGCATTAATGTGGGGGTCTTGGGGGATCTAACTTTCAGGGGAGGCAGGGGAGCTATTTTGCCAACACATTTCCCATTTGTATTCCTCCACCTCCCCCTAAGTGGCTGATGATAGTCCCAGACTGACTCCTCGTAGGCCATATCCCATCACCTCCCTCTGGAGGCTCCAGTCCCCTCCCCTGGGGCTGTCGTCTCCTCTGGGGTTGGAGGACAGAGGGGATCCCCAAGCTCCTGGGCAGGGAGGTGGGGAGAGAGAATTCCAGAGCCCACAGGGGAGCTAATATTCTCACACACAACCAGGAGAAGCAGCTGCAAACTCACCTTGCCCTTCTGAGGTGCTGTTTCTGCTGAACCTGTCCCACTGCTAGGGAGAGAAATACAGAGAGGTGAGACCCAGGCCCTTTAGGAAGAGGCAGCAGAGAGTGAGCACAATGCAGCAAAATCTTGGGGTGTAACACCCCCATTCTCACCCTTCTGCCTGCATCACCCACCCATCCACAGGGCACTCGGCCCTTCCAGCTCAGATCTGTTGTGGAGCATTCAGGGCACTTGCTGGTATACATCGAGAAGCAGGAAGGCAACTGAGCTAATAAATAACAATGCTAATAAATAGCATAGGATCATAGGCCTAGAGGGAACCTCGAGAGGTCATCTAGTCCAATCCCCTGCACTCATGGCAGGACTAAGTATTATCTAGCATGTTTATAGCTGTTGTAATGCTAGCCTGCACAGCCAGTCCCCTGCACCATCCGGCCTTTCGGTTTTATATTCTGAAGAGTCCCAAAGTACTTTAGATCCACAAGGGATCATTTCACTCACCACTCCATGCGGCCACCTCTAGGATGTAATGTGGCAACTGTGTAGCAGTGAAGCAGTGAAGTTCAACAAGTTTACAACTACTGTAGACTGAGTGCAACACAACAGGGACCAACCCTGCCCTGAGTGCCAGGAGAGGGGCTAGGTGGGACATAATTCACTAAACAACAGCTAAAGAGGTTGTGTGAAGGTGAAGACTTTGTGTCACTTCAAACTGCAGGAGGTAGAAGACATCCAGGCTGACATCCCAGCTCTTATCCAACATGCCAGAGGATCTAATGACCACACATGGTCAGCACTTCAGTTTACATCTCATCCACACAACACCTATCACCTCGTCCCCCGTCCTGCCACACTGGGGCCTGGGGTCACTACTGACCCAGAATGGAGCACAACACCCCAAAGGAGAGCACTCCCCCTACTGAGTCCCCAGCACCTCTCTTCCCTTCCCTAGCTAGCTATGAGTCTTTATACCCCAACCATCATGATGCTGTCAGAGTCCCATCTGATTCCCTCCCGCCGGCTCACAGCATGTTGTCATCTGCCCCTACTGGACACATGCAGGGGCCACGTGTACTTAGCTGTGAAGTGCCATGTGCGCCTGGGATGCTGTATAAATCCTAATTCCTCCATGCCATGTCCTGGGTTTCCCTTGGCGGGGCTCTGCCATCTTAATGCTGGCCAAGGCTGCCCCACTGTGATGGGATCACAGCCCAAAGTGGGCTGGCTGCAGCAGATAGGAGAGTAGCCCCTGTCAGCTGGCAGACACTCAGCAGAAGCAGAACTCAGCGGTGTCAGCAGGGTTGGACTTTTCCTCAATGGCAAATGTTCATAACCCAAAATCAAAGCAAATTAATATAAGCTTAAAAGGGGGGGGGGATATCTCCCCACAGTCTCCTGGGCTGGGCTGGGCTGGGCTGGGCTTGGCTTCCTGCCAGCCCTGGGTACCCAACCAGCTACTTGGACAGACTTTCCCTGAGAAGCTGTACAAGGGAGGGGTCACTGTTAAGACCTCATTCACTGGAGACCAGATGGTGTCCCTGCATCATGTCACACCCCTGGTTTCAGTGCAGTAATACTCTGCTGCCATGCTGGTCACAGCGCATGCCCTGGGACACAGCGCCCATGGGAGGTATGGCCCTTATAGGGGCTCTGGGGAGGTGATTCTCCCATGTGCCTTTCAGCAGACGGGAAATTCTCTGCTTTTTCTCCCAGGGAGCAGGGGGCTCTTCCATGGGATTTGCCAGGTATAGGAGGGTTCCTGGGGATCAGAGTTCACCAAGCTGCCCTGTCCTGCACCTGTGGGGCTGCTCTCCTAGGGCCTGGGCCTGGAGGCAGGTAATCAGCTCAGAATCCTCTCTAGACGCTTTCAGCTAAACGAGCAGTTGTGGGACTGTCTGGAAGCTCCAGCCCCACTGCAGCTTCCCTACAATAATGGCACTTCCTCTCTTCTCACAAGATGTTTCCTGGGAGTTTATTTTTCCTGGAAATTAGCTGGAGCCAGCCTTATCCTCAGAGAGCATCTGAGATACTGAACTTCTCCCCTCCCCATCATCCCTCCCATCATCAGCCAGCCTAGCAGTACCCCAGTCAGCCCCCTGTTCTTCTGCTAAGGGAGGACCCGAGGAACAAGGGGTCACTTGGAGCTCAGACATCAGAGAGGGGTAGTGGTGGGGCAACCCAAGAAGAACAGCTTCAAACTGATCCCCCCGCTGTACCTAGCCTGCAAAATACACTACAGGAGCGATTCCTCAGCAGTGCTCTAGCCCCACAGCGATGCAAGGGGAGTAATGGGGCTTGGGACCATTACGGCAGGATCCCCGAGAACTCTTCCACTGCCAGTGCCCCTCTCTGCTCCCCCCGAGCCATTATGTGGAGGACACGGGGGGTGGGGGTGCTAGAAGCTGGGGGTCCCTCACCTGAGTGTGTGATGCCTGCAGCGCAAGAGCCACAAGAAGTTTCAGGAAACTGCTGAGAAGCTGCATCGCTGGTTTTGCCTCCTCAGTTTTGCCCCAGTGAAGAGTCCCGTGTCCCAGCTGAAACAAACATACTGCCCCTGCGAGAGATTCCAGAGCTGGGGAAATGCAGAGATCCCCTGGCTGGGGCACTCCTGGGAGCCCTCACGCTGGCCACAGTCCAGGACCCGAGCGTCCCAAACACAGCACCCGTGGATCCAGTCACAGCAGCTTAGCCCTGGGAGAGGCGGTGGTGGTCAGGAGACGGGAGGCCAGTGTTACAGAGCCCCCGAGGTGGCACGGGATGAGGGGTGCTCAGAGACAAGGGACGCTGATAGCTGAGATGCAAGTCCAAGCTGTCTTAGTCCTGGGACACTGACACCACCTCTGCCCTGCTCAATCCCAGCACACAGGGTCCCCTCCTGCTCCTGCACTGGCTGCTCTGGGCCCCTCTGCACCTCCTGCGCCCGCGGGCTGCTCTCTGGCCATGTGAATGCTGCCCTGCCTGCTTTGCAGCTCTGTTTCATGAGCCGAGGGCTCCTCCCAAGTCCCTCCCCAACTCACACCCTCCCTCCCACTTTCCCTTCCTCTGAGACTGCACGGAGCTGCGCTTGCATCCTCTGGGCTTTGGAGCCCCGCAGCCTCCAGATGGCCGTTTGTTTCCTTTCGTCGTGCATCAGAGCCGCATGTCCATGCGTGTGGCTATGTGCGCCCCCGCAGGTGTGTGCGCGTGACTGTGCAGGTGCTGCTGTGACTGTACGTGCGGTCATTGTGTGCAGATGTGGCTGGGAGGGATGTCGTGGGAGCGGGCACATGTACAGGTGTGTCCGTGGGAGGGAGTCTGTTCTCTTCCAGCCCTCCAGCCTCCCCCATCACTATGGTATGCACATGCAATGTGTGAGCCGCTATTGGCTTTAGGTCATACAAACCACATCACTTGGGACCCTTCAAATACGACTAGACCTTGGCAAATAGATTGTAGAAAATGATCTGCCCTGGCTCTCGAGTGAGGGAATAGATGGGACCCAATAGGGCACTTTAATCTCTATGCCTGTCTCTGTTTCATCCTCTAGTTAATCTGTGTGTCTGGCTCTCTCTTTCTCTCCCACGCTCTCCATCCCTCCTGCTCTTTAATACAATATTGAAGTGGAAAGCTCAAGCTCTTGAAAATCAGGCTGCACCTTAAAGCTGCTTCCTGGGGTTTATGCCTGTAAATAGGCTTTCTCTTTAACTAGTTCTCATTAATAAATATTTGTCCTGTGGCGGCACCTGGAGCCCTCCATCAGGGCTACATAGTGCAGGGTGCTGTATACACACAGATATAGACATGATCCCTGGCTTGAAACACTCACACTATAAAGAATCGCTGTATATTAATCTGTGTGTAATACACTCCAGACTGGAATGTCACAGACCCGAGGCTGTGGTATTGGACTCCATGATTTTCATGTTTTTTAAAACTGGAGACATTTGACACGTGGGCGGTGGATTGAATGGTAACAATTGACCCTTCTGGCCAGCTGCCAAGTTAAACCTGTTGTGTATGGGGAGCTCAGAGAAAGCTGAGGGAGGACTCCCCGCCTTGGGCTGCTGGGCTGTCACAGGGTCCAGAGGCACAGATTCCTGATTGCTCTGATTTTTGAGAGAGAGTTGGAATTGATGGAGCTCATTTAAGAGGTGTCTGAGCAGAACTGCTGCCTTTATGCACTGCATGCACCAGCCCACGTAGCCATAACATACAGAGGCTGTCTCTATGCTGAGGAGCCGACTAATTTGCTTCAACTAGAAGAAAAATAAGAGTATTCAAATTTCCCAGAGGTGCCTGGATGTCTGTGTTAGTCAAGAGGGCATTGTCTGCAGAGACATGTAGAGCTGACGGCCTATGGCCGAAACCTTCTCCATGCCCCAAAACGGTATTCACCCTCCCTTCATTCAGCTCCCTCCTGCAGACTTCCTTCCTCTGCATGGCCCAGGAAAGCCATGTCAGTACAAGTTGCTACCATAGTATTTAAAAAAAAGCTCCAGGCTGGCACCATCCACTGGGTCTCCCAGAGCATCTGGTTCTGGCTATTTATTTTTGTAAATCCCATGGGGCAGGGCTTATGGCTTCTACAGAGTCCTGCACACAGTCAGCACTTAATAAATAATGAGAATCTTGCTCTTCAAGCTAGCTGGAAAAGCCAGCTGTCCCCTTCCCCAAGAGCCTCTTCCCTCCACACACACTGTCTTTACATAACACAAGTGTATAAAATGGGACAGTGCCGCTGGCTGCAAAATATGAGAAGCCAGACCCATCATGTCTATAGTGCAGAGTTGGGGGCCGTATGTCATATGATTTGAAAATAGTATTTTCTTGTAAGAACTCCGACATTTACACTTCTCTTGGGCAGCTCTAGTTTTTCCTTTGGGCTTCCCAGCCTGCTTGCCAGGAGCTTTCAACTGTATCAAAGCCAGGTGCCAAACTGGGGTGGGAGGCAAGGGGAGAAGGGGAGTAGCAGTACTCTGCCACGTTCTGCCCACAATCATAAGCTCTACCTGCCCCGTCAGAACTATTGAGCCATGTATTCTGCAACTCAGGCAGATATTGCTGCACTGCTGTGCGCAGAGTTCACATTTTCAAGGACTTCGTTGCAGACATAACAGCTTCCAAGTGACTTTTGCTTTTTACTCTTTTTCATGAGAAACAGAAGAACAAGAAAGCAGCTTGGAAGAGGTGTGACAATACGCTGCACCGCTGCGTACCCGCCCAATCCCAGTCCAGGGCTGAAACCTGAGACTCCTGGACTTCTCATTGCTTTTCATATAATCCCATGTATGCTGGTACTTGCAAGGGGGTTTTCAGTGTAATTTTTAATCTAGGTTATCTATCTATATTACATGACTGCCCAAGCGCTTGTCTACACACAAACTTGCACTGAAACAACAAAGGTGTGAATTACATCCAGTTGAGTTATTTGGATGCAGACTTGCAAAGAGACCAGCCCTAGGGCTCCTCTCACCCTGGCATCATAGTACCAATCCACTCTGAAGCTGTGCTCATCTTGCCAGCTCAGCTGCCTTATGAAGACAAAAGCCCTAGAGAGTTTCAAACTCTAGTCACTGCCAATGTATTGCGAATGTCTTGTTTTGCTTCTGAACACACTGGAGGGTGAAATCTCATGAGTGAGGAAGTGGTGGCTGTTGAGCTGAGTCAGGGCTTCAGTTATAAAAGTGTGGGAAATTAACTCTCTGGTCATCAGAAATAACAATCCCTGACAACACGCTCTCAGTGTGCTGGTGTAAAGGAACAACCGGGACATTTATGTTCTCTCTGTACCCCAGGGTGTCTTGGCAAAGCTGCAGACTGCAGTTATGGTGGGTAGGGCAGATTTGGGCACCAGAAGGCAGCAGTATCCACAATGGGGCATTAGGACCAGCCCCGCACAATGGATTCCACACCCTGGGGCATTAATGCCAGGGTTCAGACATCTCTTGTCCTCCTAGGACAGGGGTAGGCAACCTATGGCACGCGCGCCAAAGGCAGCACACGAGCTGATTTTCAGTGGCACTCACATTGCCCGGGTCCTGACCACCGGTCTGGGGGAGGGCTCTGCATTTTAATTTAATTTTAAATGAAGCTTCTTAAACATTTTAAAAACTTTATTTACTTTACATACAACAATAGTTTAGTTATATATTATAGACTTATAGAAAGAGACCTTCTACAAACGTTAAAATGTATTACTGCCACGCGAAACCTTAAATTAGAGTGAATAAATGAAGATTCGGCACACCACGTCTGAAAGGTTGACGACCCCTGTCCTAGGAAATAGACTTGGCCCTCTACTGTGGCAACAATAGTGCAGATGAAATCCTTATCCTCC